CAGTAAATAAAAAAATGACCCATCCAAATTTTTACATTTTTGGACTCTGGACCTTAAACAACATCAAGAAATGCAAAAAAAAAAGTACAGATTTTTTTCTCTATATATGGATGTTAGTGTACGTGGGCACGATTTTGTTCATCCTCTTTGAAGCTTAATAACTCCTGTGCTTTTTATTGAAAATTTCTGAAATTTTGCATGGTGATTTGTTTATTAGGGATATTGTTTATTAGATGCTATTAAATTTTGGTGATTAAAGGTCAAGGGGTAGGAATAAAGGGGGTTGTTGTGTGTATCTCCAGTAGGATCAGACTTAATGATGATTTTACTCATTATTAGCATTTACAATTTTTTATAAAACCCATCCCTACCTTCAAAATTAAGCTTTTTGCCATTTTATAATAGTTATTGATAAAAATACAAAAAGGTTTTTAGTAAAACATGATAACAGATGGTACCACCAAATGTTGCTGGGAAATTAAGCAACTTGTTGCTGGATTTATTTTCTTAGGTGGTAGAAATTACAGTTCTTAGTTTTATCATTAACATAAAATCATAGTTTCTACCAGTAAGTTTTTCCATTGCTTACTACTAGTAATGAACTGCAATTCTGATAAAAAATGTGAAAGAAATTCGAATTAATGATGAGAATTTTGTTTTCTTAAAAAAAAGGAAATAATAATAATAAATTATATAAAATACAGTCACAAAATAAAATTTTCACAACATTAGTTTGATGAACAAGAGTAATATTCTTTGAATAATTTTATCAATAACAGTATAGTTGGAATTACAGTTGTTAAATGAGAAGTGATTGTATCTATGGTCTTTAAATTCAAAAGACAGATGAAGTTTCTCATTATAAATATATATTTTATACAAAATGTATTTTATGAATAATTATTTTCTTGGAAAATTGTCTTTAAAGATGATTAAAATGATTCTTGATGTTTTTATTAACAATAAATTCCTTCAATTTATAAAAAGTTTATATATATTTATACATCATAACTGATTTCATTTCTTATTTGACTTTCCCAAAACATATCAAGATGTGCAAATTTCAGTAATTTGTCAATGGTGCATGAATTATGGGACATCATATATAATTCTTATCTAAAGTAAAAAAGTTTAAGAAAAACTTTTGATTTAAAAAAGTTTTTTCTATCAAATTTTTATCATTACATTTTAATTTTTGTCTCCTATAATCTTTTAGTCCTTCAGTGTTATAATACAATGAGTTCCATTACTCTTTGAAATAGCAACTCAAAGATTTTTGTTTCTTTCATATTATTAAAAAACTGATATTTCTCACTATTTGAGTTTATTTTATATTATGAGAAAATTTTATTTATATGATTAATTGGAAGAATTATTTTTAATATTAATTCATACTAAAAGGTTTCCAAATGTATTTATTTTATTTTTTTTGTTGTTTAAAAATGACATTGCTGGTGTATTTATCTGTTGTACTGTAATAATGTTTGTAAGATTTTTATTATTGTATTTTATTTTTTATGAAAATTTAATTTGATGAATTAATAATGATACCAAAGTATAGCAGATAGGTAATTTTGTTTTATTATTTGCCATTCTTCGATTAATTGTATTTAATTTGTTTTTGTTATATGAAAGGTTTTATTTATAATTTTTCAAAATCAAAAAAATTGTGTTCTATTTACCTGCATTTGTAATTGTTTTGAGAGAGAAACATTAATATATTTGTTGGTATTGTATTTTCTTTATTACTTTATACTCTATTATTTCACTTTTTGGTATGATTATGCTATTAATATTTCTTCTTATAGTGTCAGTTACTATTTATATTTAATTTATATATATATAAATTATTATATATATATATAAATTAAATATAAATATATAATATATATATATATATATCAGAGTAAAGTTTGGAAATTGGACTGCTAGGGGATTTGGATCATCCAGGATTTTCTGAATTCTCAGGAGGTAACTTATAAGATTCAAATTTAAGGAGAAATGAAGAAAAAGAAAAAAAAAACAATTAAATTATGATAGTATTTTTATTATTTCATTGTAAAACCACTACCATGACTACTTAGTATGAATTTATTCTGAAAATTATATTCAGAAAAGAAATAATGTTCTGTTAGATGAAAATTTATGTAGAGAATATGATGATTGTTTATGTTGTTGAAAATTGGCACACAACAATTAGGCTCTCTTTGTTTTAGAAATTTAGAGTAATCATAATGAATGTAATCTAATACTATAATATTTTATTTACTTGATTTACTGATTAAGGAATTTGCCACAATACATTGTTATTGTCTCTGCATTTTCCAAATACATTTGCAAATAACAAACTGCAAAATTCATAAAAGTATACATTTTAAAAAGTGAGATTTCTGGTTTGATTTGATAGGATAAGGCAATGCAACATAAAGTGAATCTGTCAAGGAGAGACCTGCCAGGAGATCTTTCTGTGAAAAATTGGTGCTTAGATTCTCAAATCACACCTGAATTCAAAATTTCCAGCAAATAAAAGTAAAAAATACACCTTGAACGTTTTCGGCCCGTTTTCGGCTTATTTAGATGTTAGACATGCAATGAAAATCCAGAAAAATCTGTATCGCTAGCTCATTGGCCAGGTCAAACCTAGATCAACTACTAATGTATAGTTTTTAAACATGATCAGAAGATGATTTTACAATAATGAAAGAGATGATAACAGATTATTTTTCAGTAGTTTTATCCATTGAGCTACTTGTGGGCATGTATTTCTGGAGTATTGATTTTCAAACTTTTACTGTGTTAAAGTGTTGGGTAAGTACATAAAAGAAATATATAATATTTGGGTTACTTTTCTATAATAGATTAATTTCTCAAACTTGTGACAAAACTTATTATTAAAATCACATCTATGATTTCTGAATGCAACAAATTCATTCATTATGAGTCTTGTTTTATTTTTAAACCTCAAGTACTTGTTAAATCTTATGAATTATATCTAAGAATTAAAAAAATATATATTAATCTAGAAATATTAATCTTTAAATGTTTTTTGTATGTGCTGGCATTTTTATGTAAACTAATATTTAATTATGAATGGTGATGCCAAATTTTGATAGATTATAAATAAAGAATATTCACATGCTATTTATTGCTTTGAAATTTTATTTTCTAAATTCAAAATATAGTACTTTACTCTTGAAAAATTTTTGTCTCTAGCATTTTAAGTTTAATTCAAATATAAATTATAAACTATCATATTTCAATTAAATCTATCACAGACAAGTCTGTCCAAGAGGGATCACCATTTATTTTGCATTCCAGACTACACATACACATTAATGGTGACAGGCCTTCCTTATCATATTTCCATATCCTATTTCATTTAAAAAGTTTGGCTTTTGGCCTGGATAGATAGCCCATCTCTGACCAGTACCAGAATATGAAAATATCAACATTCAATATCAGATTTATTTATCAAAATTTTTAATATTTTTTGATGGAACTTCTTTTCATTTTAAAAGGGCTATTATAGGTGTATATAGTTGCCTTACAGTCCTTAATTCTAATTTATCATTAATTGTCTACTTGGACACAACTTATTATTAGAACATTAATTTTTTCTATTACAGGAAAAATTACTACAGGTGATATAATAAAGAAATTTTGTTTTTTCTGATTCAGATTTCATCTTTGTGTCAATATCCAAAAACACCAGTTATAAGGTCCTAATAATAAGTTGTGTCCAAGTAGACAGTTAATGATAAATAAGCTATTAAAGGTTGTTTGGCTTTTCCTGTGTATATAGTATACAGGAGGTCCTTGTTTAATGAGTATTCATTATTCAAGTCCCCATAGTTAAATGGTCAAAAAATTGTGGAACATCACTTAAAAATTCCCTGCACTTACGAGGTTTCCCTGCCAGATGGTAACTTCCTCTTGCATTATGTAATCTACACATGCATTGATACATATCACCATATACAGGATGCATTATTGTGCATGTGTTTGTCAATTTGGTTCCATTTTGACTGGTTTTTCTGTTTCTTTATCTGATTTTCTTATCAAAATTATGTCTATTAATAGAGTGTAGCAAAACTGATGATAGAGTTCCTAAAAGGAAATGTGCCTCTTACAGTCTAGAATATAACAGCAGAGTATATTATACATTATAATATAAGTATACAATTGACTAAATTGAAGATAGTGATGAGGACTTTAATAAAATTTCCAGTGAAAATGTTCATTAATGGTTTACATGACCCATTTGCAAAGTGTATCAAAATCATTAATTATTTTCTTAAAAATGAACCAGTTTATGAACAGGTAGAAAAATTTGTGCATGGGATAAAAGACTCATTATCTTGTTATAAAACAATATTAAATGGAAAGATAAACTGCAGGAAACAAGCATACTTTACATTCATTTTTTCTATATCGAAACTCAGAAGTCAGTGAAAATGATCAAAATGGAAGCTATAATATTTATTATTATTATAATTGAATATCAGAAGTTATTTATAAATAACTTCTGATATTCAATTATAATAATAATAAATATTTTACATATGTGTACATAGGGATAATAAAGATTTCTTTCATGTTTTCCATTTGGTTTTGCTTTATTGGAGTCCCAATTATACATTTTTATATTTTCTATGAATTTATGATCTCTGCTTTTTGTAGATTAGTGGTAACTTTTTGGTCCTAGTTAACCATGTTAAATGAGGACCCCCTGTAGTTATATACACTATTTTACTATGCAGGATAATGCACTGCATTCTCAATTTTATATGAATATGAATATACGTATCCATATTTATTATTATCATAAATCTATTATCATATTTAATTGTAATAATTATAAACTTTATGAATTACATGAAATTAAAATATCACTTATACAATGTATTCAAGTAGTTTACATATTTTGACTAATTTTTTTAATAAATATTTTACTTTTAACTTTACCGAAATGTGATTTAAAAATGTATGCCTTTTTATAGTTAATCCAATAGTTATTGAACATGGTACATTCTCTTGGTCAAAAGATGAATCTGCAATACTGAAAGAGATAAATATCAACATTCCAGAAGGATCTCTAGTAGCTGTAGTTGGGCAGGTTGGTTCCGGAAAATCATCTTTGCTCTCTGCCATGTTGGGTGATATGGATAAATTAGAAGGAAGAGTTAATATAAAAGTATGTGCATTCAATTTAAATTTTAAAATTAAACAATGTATTAGAAATTTAATATTTAAAACTTGTTATTTAGGGAAATATTGCATATGTAGCACAGCAAGCATGGATTCAGAATGCCACATTGAGAGATAATATACTATTCCATCATGCTATGAATCATGAGAAATATAATCAAGTAATCAAAGCATGTGCCCTGGAAACTGATTTGACTGTTCTTCCTGGAGGAGATATGACTGAAATAGGAGAAAGAGTTGAGTAGAATAAACTTTCTAATTTATAATTTGTTTTTGAAATAATCATATTTTGTAGAAATAAAATACAATCTTACTGATCTAAATTATTTATTATACAGTGAAAAGTTTTGATTAGGGGGGAATATATATATCCCCCTATTATATGTATAGAAAAGGAAAATAAAAAAACTGTAACAAATATATATAAAGTAGAAGTTTGTTAACCCTATTCAGCTTTGATCAGAATGATGCATATTATCAAAAATGTACATTACCAGATGTTTTAGTTTTTTCTTTTGCAAAATTTTATGAGTTGTAAGTGTAAGGTCTCCACATCCATTCATTGGTCATCTTATGATAACAGTCAAGTGACATTGGCTCAAGTGGTTGCCAATCTATGATTCTGCAGTTCAGTTTTATTAATGTATCTCTTTTAGAAGGTTTGGATTCAGGTGGAAGGTAATAGCTCAACAGGTTAACCAAGAAAATGATTTCTTAAGTGACATGGAGTAAATACAGTTAGTAGCATATGTAGTTACATGTGGTTATCAGGTTACTGGTTTGTGGAGAGAGTGAGTGAGTTACAGTTGAATAGCTAAATACCTTCTTATATACAGTTGAATAGCTAAATACCTTTTTATAAAATATGATTCCACTTCTGCTCAAAATGGTTAGCTGTTTTTTCCCCCTAAGCATTTCCTTAGCTCTCATTCTTCTGAATTTTTAGTTCTACTCCCATGTTGAATGTTGGTAGACTGACCACCCAGTAGGCTCTGAACTCTGTCAGAAGACTGTGCTCTCTAACAATAGTCTAATCTCTGTGTTAGAATTTCCAAATTCTTCCTGTATGAACCTCAGTATGTCCAATCATTTGGACAGTTAGTCCATTTTCACTAGTCAGGTTTCAGACAGAAATATATCTTATAATGAGTTTATAAACATAGTTGTTGGAAAAATGATGTCATGAATGTACTATGCTATTTTTTTATGACAATAATGACAGCACTGGATCTCACATCTGCAATCTGAACATTCAGATACTGCTGTAAATTTTGTATCAGTATGCAATGTTGTATGCTTTTGATTTTTTATGCACTTTCGTTAATCAATTTGAAAATGATACAGTACTTGACCATAGTGTGTTAAGATTTATTGAAAAACCTTTATTACTTCAAAAATGTTAATGAATATTTTTATTTCATACAATAAAATTTTACAATAATATATGTGCATATACTGTAATATTTGTTTTTCAGTAATGTACTGTGTGATTTGCAAAAGCAGATAAGCTGAAAGTATGAAAAACCTGTTTTTAGGTGTGCTGTTTTCACATTAGCTTATGGAAAGAAAAAATATGTCAGACACATTACTGAACACACAATGTGTTTGCTAACTGTAACAAAGCAATGTTCATTCAGCACAAACAATATAGACTACAGGGTCTTTAGAGCACCATGTGTTTGAACTCTGATTTGTGAAGTTCTAGCATTCTAGTTTATTATTTTAGATCATCAGCTGCTTTTCAGAGGGTATAAGATTAACAGACATTTCAGATTATTGAGTAATGGATTAATGAACTTTTACTATATATCTAAATATTTTTCTGCTAGAATATTTGAGGAAAAACAGTATAGTAAAATTCTCAAAATCAAATTAAAGTACAGTGGTGCCTCATATAATGTACTTAATCCATTCCAGGTGCACGTCCATTAAGTGAAAAGTCCATTATACGAAATGCATTTTCCCCATAGAAATACTTGTTATAACATATAATTCAATAAAAATATTCTAAAAAGAATCGATGGAGTCAGATAATCTATTTTTTAACCGTATTGTAGTACACGGAAAACTGCTAGTTTTCCATTCGTTTCTGACTTTTCCTTGTTAACCTGTTTACCTTTTTTAATTTTTTATACCAGTCTACGGACTCGGGACTTATTAAGCCTCCAAAAGTCAGAAACGAATGGAAAACTAGTAGTTTTCCGTGTACTAAAGATTAGTACAGTACGGTAATATAAAAAATAGATTATCTGACTCCATCGATTCTTTTTGGAATATTTTTATTGATATTTTGAATACTTGCATAATG